GATCCAGACCCCGTCATTTGGATCTGCCCAACTAGGGGAAATGATCCGATGATTCCGAAAAAACTGTAACTCGATCTACCGATATTTAACCATGTTCATTATTTCATCATATCGCGCCCTCGTATATCGAGTTTGCCATTTGTATTTCGAATGAAGAAACTTTCCTCATCCAGGGGTATATCTTTTTTGTTTTAAGGAAGGTAGGAGCGATCCACTTCCGGATGCATTCTTCAAAAGACATCGATTCATGATCAGTTTCTCAACCTTTAGCGTAGCTCATCACCCCCGGCACTAGCTATCTCGCGCGCTTCTACCCGCCGCTAAACTAGCGGGGGCTCATACAGACACCCTCTCCAATGTTCGTCTGCTAGCTGGCACTGACTAGCACGAATCCTACGAGATGGCTTACATCCATCTCAAGTCAACATTCGAGCTTCACACACGGGAATTGTGTCCGAGCTTTAGAGGCCTTCAGGATCGATGGTGAGAGTCGTGAGAGCACTATCGGATTCTACCTCTATCCCACATTCAGATGATATCGCATCAATGGGATACGGGGGATGGATTCCCCAACTCCTTTTGCATCTTACCTAGTGGAGGAAGAGTATTCGTATTGAGCGGGAAGCTTCTATCCAGGGACTTCATGACGTCCAGGGCTTCCGTCGACTAAGCTGCCCCTTTCTGGTGGTGGTTCCTCCTCTTCTGATCTCTGATCCGAGCGATTCGAGAGGGCTGAGGCGGACTGGTTCTGCTGCCGCGATGATTTGTGACAGAAACGAGACCGCTCTGCTACGCTCGTGAAATTGGTTCACCGCTCAATACACGCATCTTGATTGTACGGAGAATCCTGATGCGAAAAAGGCGGAAAGTTGAACCTAAAGCACTTTTTCGACGGTAGACCGAAGGCCGTGGCTTGAGAAGACTTCCGAAATTCGATCCCCAGGAAGCCAACCGTGGTCGGTCCTTCTACAGTCGAATCGCCGAGCCTCAGCGTATCCTACGAGGACCTCAGATCAGCCTCTTGTAGAGCTCCAAGAGCAGCTTACCCTATGGGGGAATGGGGGCCTGATCACGGGAAGGTCTACAAGCGCACCTGAAGCCCCGCCGATACCACCTCCGAGTCTCGGATTCGAAATGCGCTGGGACGCTCATGAGAGATACTTAATCGTTCGATATGGGTGCGAGTCATAATGCTCTGCAGTTCCTAATGGAGGCAGGTCGTGTGATCGCTCCCCATTCGAAAGGAGCAAGGATGCTCTCTAAATAAGACCTTGTAGGACACAAGGTACAAGTTCTATCTCCCGGATCGCTGCGAGAAAAAACCCATCGGATTTCGTTTTGAGGCTCGAACGGACTCCCGAATGAGGATCCAATCATGAGAACAGTATTCGCAGCCGCACATGGACGAGAGCACTTCTGGGGCCCCGAGAATGAGGATATCGATGTCGGA